AGCTCATATCTCGAGTTCTTCCGATCCTAAAGGATTCCGACAAGTACGCAGGAATCATGCTGTGGAATAGATACCACGACAGACTCTCCGGCTACAGTTCTCAAGTCAAGTCCCACGTGTGTCCAGCGCGTGGGTTCTCCAACATCTTATCTATGCCGGTGAAGTCTTCCAAGTAAACCTGAACGGCGTAGATGATCGGTGGTGTCGAAAACTCCGATCATCATGAGTCCCCCATCCTATCCGTGTGTGCTACGTATGGTGTTTCGCTTGTACTATATGTGGTCTTTTCAATAATATAATAAGGGGGTTTTGCACATCTTTATTTTGAAAGATTAAAAAAACAGCATAATTCAAGCTTCATTAGAAAAAAATTCAAGAAACCTTAAAAATAAATTTTAAAGATTAAATGACCACTTTTTATATTTTTGAGTTATAATATAATAAGGGAGGGTTTTACATATCTATATTTCGAAAGATTAAAAAAACAGTATAATTCAAGCTTTGTTGTTTTCAAAAAAATAAAATTTTCAAGAAACCTTAAAAATAAATCATAAAGATCTAAATGGCCACTTTTTTATATTTTTAAGTCCTCAAAATAGATATTTTTACTATTTTCAACCCTTAAAAATGTCGAATTTGTATTTTTCTAATTTTGATCAATTTAAGATGAATTCAAATGATTATTTTCTGTATTTTTTAAGTCCTTAAATAGGTACTTTCACTATTTTAGTATTTAAAAAACTGAGTTAATAATCACTTTAGATCAAAAACCATGGCTAAGAAGAAAAGAAGAAATTTTGAAGTTATAAGAAAGATGTTATTGTAGAAACATTAGTTATACCATTTTGGCATTTTATTCAAAATTAGTGTAACCCAATTCGAGAATCGAGTTTCAGTTTTTTTAAAAAAATTATATTTTCAGAACCTTCGGAAATGAGTTACGTAGATGATCATTTTTTTCTATTTTAATTTTTAAAATATGTTACATTATTTTTTACTTATTTCAATTTAAACTATATCAAGACCATAAAATTGTGGGTTTGAGTATGGAATTAATAGATATTCTAATCTGAAAATAGTAAATAAGATATTCTAATCTGAAAATGCTTATTTCAATTTAAGATGAATTTATAATTATTTTATGTCAAAAATCACTTAATAATTATCATAAATGGTTATTTAAAGCTTTGAGAAAAAAAATTCTTTTGGAGACCTGAGTTATGCTGTTTTTTAATAAGATTATACTATTCAAAAATAGTGTAACTCATATTTCAATGTTTTTCGAAAATTTCTAAATTTACAATAAACCTTGAAAATCACATGGAACTAAATGATCATCTGTTTTATTTTTGAGCCTTTAAACGAGGTATTTTCACTTGATTTAGATTGTTTTTGACTTATTTTAATTAGAATTCTGTCAAGATCATTAAAATAAGGGTTTGAGTATGGAATTACTAGGTATTCTAATATTAAAAATACTACATGAGATATTTACAAATAATGATTATTTTTATTTATTATTTATTTAAAATATTAGTTATAAAAATGATATTTTATTTTTTTAATTTCGTTATGTTGACTTTATGTCTAATTAATATTTAATATTTTATTTGGTTTTTTGATATTTTATTATTATTTACTTGAGATATTCAAATAATATTATTATATTATATTTTACTTTATATTTAATAATGTGAAATTTATTTTATTCTTTTTGTCATACTTTTATTATTTTTATAATATTTTTATATTTATAATTTAATATTAATTTTAATATTTTTTTATTAATATAAAACTAATATATATTAATATTATTGAATTATATTTTTTTTATCTTGGTCGGAATCAAGATTTGAGTCTATCTTGAACCGGTTCAAATTGAATGAATTGGTTTAATTGAGTATGTTTGAAAAGGGAGGAAAGGAAGGAAAAGGATAAAACGTGATTTGAGCAGCACTTTTGTCATATGTAAAATGAGAACACTCTCCGACTATATATATATATATATATATATATATATATATATATGCAATTTGTATCATCACATTGAAACAATGATCTCAGTGGTAGAATACTATCGGGGGAAACTTAATGCCGGAGTCTTGAAGAAACGGTATTACCTGCGGCTGCTCAGCCAGGTCGCGGTACAAGTCATACTCCGCCTCGTAATCATGCAAGTCCAGCTCCGCCTTCTGGTTGGTGTGGTAATGGTGCTTCGCCTCCGGCAACTTCCCGAATCCGAAGACGCCAACTCTGTCGCAGATTCCCAACGCCAGCATCACCGCCTGCATCCCCGATGAGTAATGGAACGTCCTCGGGTCGTGGGCCTTCGCCCACTCCTCCGGCGCCTTCCCGGTCGTCTCCACAAATCTCTTCAGCGAGTAGTACTTGACGATGCGGGCGCAGAGCATATCGAACCGCGCGTCCGTGATGAGGAGCGGCGCCTTGTGGGAGGAGTTGCAGGCGGCGTAGTCGAGGAAATGGGCGGCTTGGCAGATGTACATGACCATGGCGACGTTCTCGCCGTATGGATGGCAGAAACAGTCGTGCCGTCGAGCGCACAGGTGGAGTATGTTGCTGTTGACGAAGGAAAGGCCGGTCTTTGAGCCCACCTTGTGGCCGTACCCTTTGATGCGGGCGTTGTTGAGACGGATCACAAGCTCGTGGCCGTCGATCAGCTCGCCGTGGTCGTTGTTCAGAAGGATCCCGCTGTTGCCAACCACCGCGCAGGAGCCATAACGCTCTGCCTCGGTGTCGAGGCGGCCGTGGTGGCGATCGATGGGGCGCTTGATGTGCTCGACTAGCTCCGACATGATCCCGGGATGGAATCGGCGGCGCCGGAACCAGTCACGAAGGGGGCGGCGGAAGTCGGGCAAGGCCCTGTAGTCCTTGGGGGCGCGAAGCCGCTGGGAAAACGGCATCTCGTGCCGCCGCAGCACATCGAGGTGGTTCTCCCGCCGCCAGTCCGAATTGGTCCGGGGCCGCCCCCCGGCGCCGCCGCCGCCGTGGCCGAATAGGAAGGTCCCGTCAAGGAGGTCGTCGACGTCCTTCTGCAGCTCCGTCTCCCGTTGCTCCACAGCAGCCAGCCTGAGGAGCGTCGCGTTGACCGGTGGCGCCTCCGGAGGCTGCCGCTCGCGGCGCCTGCCGTCCTGGAGCACAGCCCGGAAGCCAAGGACTGAAAACACCCCGATCAGGATCAACAAACGGAACAACACACGCAGAGTTCCCTTCATCCTCGCCACTAAATCGGCGGATCTAAGTAGAGCTCTGCGTTCGCGGCCAAGAACGCATCTTTACATCCAGATGCGCAATTCCCCCAGTCGGGGCAACAAAAGAAGCCAACTTTGGGGCGGAGACGGGAGAGATTTCGCGGGCCGAGCTACGATTGAGGATTCTGGATCGCCATGGATGGGGGATTTCCGCATCTTCCAGCTCCAAACCGCACGGGAGAGGTTGGGATTGCTCGATGGGGTTGATTCAACTATATAAGGCTGGCCAAAGGATTGGCTGGAGTTACACTTATCCAGCGTCCTACATTACCTCATCTTCACCTTTCTTCTGATTGGGAGCAACGTGGGACCGTTGTCTGACCAGCCTCCACATCAGTAGAATTCTCTAACGAGAAGACAGGTGAGTTTTAGGGTAATTTCTAATTAGGTAAGAAGATATTTTCTTCGATTTGTATTAGGTAGAACAAGGACAGCTTTGGGAAAATAAAAATAAGAACAGTCACAAGTCGAAGAATGTTTCTTTTTTGTTTGTTTCGCGTGATGGAGATGGAAAGATGGTTGACTGATTAATCTTTCTTTTTTTATATACTTTTTTTCTCCTCACTTATGGTGGCCCCAAATAAAAAAAGTTCCTATTGTCAACTTATTGTTTTGCATGATATATGGGTTATTTATTCTAGTTTTTGGCATTGTCTTTGGGAAAAATGGAAGAACTTAAGGCTCTCATAGATAACATTTGAATATCTATATTAATCTTTTTTTTTCCAAAACAAAAATCAGATTTTATTATTGTAGCAGTTAGTCTCTTATTATTATAATCCGTGCCAAAGCACAAAATAGACCTCAGAGGACATCAATATATGGTGTCGATGAAGATAAAAGTTTCCTTTCACTTTCTATAAATCAAATATTTTCATGGCTGTGACGACCAGCAACCATCAAACTTTATGGTTGCTATTGTTTCTAACAAATATAACCTTAGAGCTTAACAACGAAATCGTAATTACCATTTTGGCATCAAATAAATGGCACTATAAAGGAAAAATGAGTATTAACCACGGAGTAATTACAAATTTGTCACTAAAACATTTAATGGGGAAATGATTAGGATATGGAATGATGGGAGACTTGTCTGATTTCTTTCTTTCCTGTGCTGTTCAGTTCTTTGATTGTTCTTGATGAGGACCTGACGGTAGACTGAGAACCAAAGGAAGAGAATGATGATGGAAGAATTAGGTGCTTGTGGCTGTTTACCGAGCAATGAAGAAGCTGGCATGCATGGTGGACTTTGACCTGTATCGTCTTCAGTGCACTTGCATGTTAATGGAACTGTTCCTTTGCTGATTCAACAGTTGATTTCTGACTAAGCTGCGTAGGAAAAGTTGGATCCGATTGTTACTCTCATAATATCATGTGATTGAAAAATGATAGCTATAGGACTAAATGTAAGCTCATATGTATAAGAAGTCTAATTTAATCGAAAAGGAGGATACTCATAATATTATCTTGGTAGTTGAGAGATGTTGAATGTTTGCTTTGTGATTGATATGTACGAAGATCGAAGTCACATAGATTTTTCGACTTGAACTCTCCAATACTCAAGTTAATAACGAATGATAAAACAAAAATAATAATTTTTAATAAATAATAATAGTAATAATAATAATAATAATCAAATCAATAATAATAATAATCATGACTTGACTTGATGATCTCTTATAATAGATTTTAATCAGAGGAAATATTCTATAGGAGGTGAAATATTCCCCATCCTTTCATTTAATAATATCGATAGAATATTATTATAATATTTTTTTTATTTTTAATTGATGTTCATGTGACTTAATTGTTAATCTAGACTTACCTTCTCTTACTAATTGTGCTATTACATCATGATTAAGTATTTTTTTAATTATTATATAAAATTTATTGATCATTAATTTACCAATATATTAAATAAAATATAAAAAAATATATTTTTATTATATATTTAGAAGAGACCAACATTTCAAGAATGTTAGTTAGCCTTACTATTATTATTTTTTAAAAAAATATCCCCACCGATCTTGAGATGGATTATCGACTTCATCATTTATATTTGCAAAACACAAAAAATATACATAGAGCAAATAAAGAATAGCCACTTGTTTTGTCGACAAAGTGTTAATGATTCTAATATGTCATTATAATTGTAATTAAGTATCTAATAGTTGAATTTAATCTATATTATATCAATATGACTTGTTACCTAAGTTTATACATAAACCTATCCAAATTTAATTAATAAATAATTGAAGCTAATTTAAACTGAGTAAGATAGTCAATAAATCCTCGATCAATGATCATTACTTGCGAACTTGCATCGAATTGAGACCTAATTATCCAACTAAACACTTGCATTCGGGACTTAATCCAACATGTGACATGTTCTAATATGTTATAAGACGACACGCGTCGAGGCATCGAAGGTATTAACCGGCCATAAAAGGTCAGTCTTGTCATCCGTATCGATCACCCTACGTTCGCTTCCTTCGAGCCCTAATCGCGTCTGACGCACCAATTTGCATCATCCAATTTCGTCGCCCGTCTCCCGCACTGTCCTCTCCGCCATCCCAAGGGCGCCGATCGCATCTCCCTGGGCCTACAACGATCTTTGTCCCTTCGGTGGCGCTCGCAGCTCTTTAGGAAGCTTGGATCGAAAGGTATCACAATCTCGCCCGACCTCACATCAAATGAGCTCGATATTTCGTTCAATATTTTCTTGATTCGAATTTGTGAATATTTGTTGGTGAAGCGATAAGATGAAAGGGATGAAGGGCTTTGCAGGGCTGGTAGCAAGAAGCTATTTTTCGGGTAGGACTCCAAAGCCTAATCCAAGCTTGTTCAGAGGGAGAAGCGGATGCTATCTCCATTCTTCTTGTCGTGCAATCTCTTCTTCATATTTTTCTCTTTCTCTTCGGAACCAGTGGCCCTTTGTTCGAAATCCATCGGAGTCATGGGTCTCGGCTCCGTGGATCGGGCTTGGAGGTGAGGTTTTCTTCTGATGTGTTGTGCGCTCATTCGTCCACAAAGTTTCCGCTGTTACAAGAACTTGATTGCTTTCATCTACTTTTCACCCTTAGTTCACGTGAATTATGGCTATGAAATTATAAGAAATTGAAATTAACATCAAACGTGGTTGAACTTAAAACTGAACAAAGCAAGTACACAAAATGTCTAGACAACTTTCTAAGTTTGCTTTGAACAAAATAAAAGAACCCGGACCTCTATTATTATCGAAATAAAAAAAAATTCAAGGTTCAGCTGAACACCTGGCTAAACTACTTTAAGATATATAAATTACCTATATTTTAGAATTATTTTTTCTCACTCATGCATGATCATGATAAATAGTTGCTAATTGCCTGTATCTAGTTTGCAAAATTAGAATGTTTCCATTTTAAAGAAACAGTTTGCTGTTTACGAAGTTGAGTTGTGATGAACTGTTCGCTTAGTTGCAATACTGAAGTCATTATGCCTTTTCTTCTTGTTTTAGGCTTCTAACTTAACGCATTTCTATGCTGCCACCCTTTGAAATGGTGAAAATTTATATGGAAATGATCAGATTGAGTTCTGAGAATATGTATTTTTGGTTGGATGGCTATGATATCGGACATATGTCTGTGATAAGGATACCATAATCTTTTTGTTTTTGTTGTTACAATACAAAGCATCCCACATATTTTCTGCTACAAGTTTCTTTTGTAGTCTTAGTGGTTCATTTGAATAAGCAAAGTTTCTTATCTTGGTGACCAAGTGCTCCACATAGCACCTACAAGCAGTCAATGTGACAACATTGGTAACATGACTGTGTTATTGATCATCAAGATCTCCTGAATGGGCCACCTAGGGGGAATAGTTTGAGGGGTTTGAACTTTTTAAATACCTCAAAATTTGGCAGGCCTATCTTCTAGCTTGCAAGAAAAGATAACGTGTGATCACACTTTCTTTGGTGTCTTATTATACTTCATTATTCTCCTATCAAATTCAGTGACACTTGTATGCCTTGTGGAATTCAACAGCATCTTCAACAATTAAAGATGTCATCCCCTGGGTCTAACTGGTCTTTGAGGCACACGGAATTTTCTGTTAATGGTCAGCTGTGAGTGTAATACTTACAGTGTCAACAATATGCATTTCTATTTACAGTGTCAACAATATGCATTTCTATTTAAGTGGCTTGCAACTGACGTGATTTGTAGAGTCAGGTACTTCTGCAGTTGTCTTGCATAAGACCTAAGTACAACAAAGTTGGCTTGATGTATTCAACAAAGTTCAGGATTGTGCCTAATAAAAAATTTATAATCATGTGGTCATGTGTAATCCATGTTTGATTACCTTACTGCTTTAGTTACCAATGCATAAAGAGTCTTATTCTGTAACATTTAAGTTCATTAATGCCCATGTATAATGGGCTTTATGTAATGCTGATGTCACATATATGATTGTGTTGCAAATGATGATGAGGTCACTGCATATTGTAAGTCCAGGTGATTGGTGTCTTTCACAAAGTATTGTGGGAGACTTAATTTTCTGACCATTTTTTGTACAGAACAGAGGAGGGGCATGTTTATTCAAACACAGTCGACACCCAATCCACTGTCTCTCATGTTTTACCCAGGAAAATCAGTAATGGAAGTTGGAAGCGCTGATTTTCCCAATGCTCGTACAGCTATGACTTCACCACTGGCTAAATCTTTATTTGGCATTGATGGTATAGTTTTTTTTTCCATTGAGCTCTTGCTTTTTCTTAGACTTAAAATTGTCAGTTTGCTTTAAAATGTCAATGCGCTTGTTCTCATATTGCAACTCCCTGCTGACAGTTGCTTTACGTTAAGTTTCTAGAAATTTTTCTGATGGTTGCTGAATTAACTTACCACTCTCTTGTGTCGATAACTTATCTCTTAATGTCAATATAAGTCCTCTATGCTCAATAAATATCATGTGGGGTATTTTGCCACTGTTAATGTCTTATGCTTATATGTATTTTGTTAATATAAACATGCTACTTTTCTTAACTTATGTCCTTCTATGAATGCTGAAAACTGACTTCCATCACTAATTACTAGGAAAATATCAATTATTGCAATTTAGGTTGTGGTTAGGAGAATATTCTAAGACAATCAAGTGTTTTGTTTTGACTTAAATATGTTCTTTACAAAGTAAGCCTGAGCCATTGACAGAATGTTGGACACTTTGAAATGCTTTTGGTGTTCTTGTCGGCCGTTGACAAATGGAAACTTCCTGCCACATGTTGGGTAGCTTAAAATAACACTTATTTAAATATGTTTAGGACTTTTAATTTATCGAGGATTTTTGTTGTACATAATTAACTTTTAAAATTTCTTTTGTTGAAGTATTTGTGAAGTAGTTGCTTATATAATTTGTTGTTATGCTTCAGAAGCATAGTTTATCTATTATATATAAGGCATACAATTACAACAGCATATGAAATGTGCACATAGCAGTTGCTGTGACTATGAATTATCTTTTATGAGATTTAGGTGATGTCTTATATCCATATCATATTGTCCATGTCCAGTTTCCTTGTCCATGCTTTATAGGTGATCGGCAATCCAATGTGGTACAACTTTCTCATCCCCGACAGAAGGGTGAGGCCCCCTGATTATTGGTCTGTAGATGTCTTTATGCTTTCATACAATCTGGAATAATTAAATATACATATCTGTCTGGCACATATCTGTAGTGCAGTCTGCTAAATGTGTCCAAAATTCTTGCCAATGGCTTGCATTACCATTTGACTGTCAGGATTCTATTCTTTTCTTTTGTAAAGCTTTGTTGGTATTAACTATTCATAATATCTTCTGTGGTACAGCCATATAAGGTCATGGACTTTTTTCTTTTTTTATCTCGAAACCAGAAAATATTAAGGGCTATGATTAAAGAACACTTCTGTCATCTCTACAGAAAAAAAGTAGCACAAAATTCAGACTGGAGATGACTTGCGAATAAACATTATGACCTGGTGGCCCCTTGGAGGTTTGCAATGTCCGACACTTAGATAATGGAAGAATAATGTGTTATCAGATGCAATTCCTATGCATTTGTGGGTGCATATAACAATTATCATTCCTTAGTTGATGCATGAGCAGTTTACAAGGCTTCCACTATCTAAGTACCCATATGACATTTATTCCTTCAGTAACTACAAAAGGTTTGTACTATTAAAATGTCTGTGTGGCATGTATTGCTTCAATGGGTAGACACAAATGTTAATGCATGACTATCAAGTGAAGTTTAAATTTTCATGCATGAATATCATTGGACTGAAACTGGGCACTCTAGACTGAGACCTAATCAGTGAGTTTGACATTCATGGATGGAGTTAGGGCTTTTCGGATGTAGCTTGATATTGATTAATGAGGTGATTCTGGAGCTTGATTTGGGTCTATGGGTTTACAGGTAGGTTCTGGTTTTACAAAAGGTTCTATTGGGTATTGGTGATTTGGAGATAAGTAGTCCATCGACACCTCTAGTCATGATTGCAAGTTAGTGTAAGACAATATAAGCTGAAAACTGAAATTTGTAATAATGATTTTTTTTGAAATTCTTGTAGTCAAATTAATTGGTGGGCATGGATATGTATACCCTATGCCAAATATTTGGGAGTTAAAGGTTATTGAAACTAGAAAAAAGAATAAAGTTTATTGCGAAACATATTACTATTCTTTATATGAAATTGAGAAAAGCCGAAACAAGAATTTTTCTGTAAATGGTCAGGTTGATTCTAATAATTTGTATGAGTCGTTCTCTAAGCTGTACTATCAATGTCTCCTGTGAGGGACTGCAAAGCTCTTGCTCCTTTTTGGAAGACTATTTACCATTTTTCATTCTCAAGAATCCTCAATTTTAGAATCTTGATTCCTTGAGTAGATAATCTTATCACATTAGGACATTTCAGTGATTTAAGTATACCTTTCTGTTGATGCAATTTAAAGCTATGT